TTTCATGCTGAGAGCAACATGAAAAATAAACCGTCTCAATCGGCTAAAGGTCGGATACTCGCATGCTACAGCATTTCATCCACATCTGTGCTAATGCTCGCCCCTCAGCCGAGTTCATTTTGTCTAGCCGATGGAGATGATATCTTAGGCGTATCAATATTAGTACAAAAACATTACTTTCAAGTTTTATTCATTTATAGCGATTTTCGGCCGAGCTCCAACAATGGTGGTTGACATTTCTTTGTCGAGGGCGATCGCAACTACAAAATTTAACTTAAATTTATATTTAATTTAATTTTATTTATGTTTTTGGAAGTTTGGGCGTCATCAGGGTTTGAACCCGAGCCTTCCCAATGGCAGTACGCAATGCTAACCATTCGACTGCCGCAGCCGTCAAAGTGATCCAGGACCTTACTGTGTCACTTTAAGGTCAAACGCTTAAGTCACTGCCTCGACAGCCGGATCAGTGCGAGAGAATGGACGATGAGTCCACGGATTCAAGAAGTGAGTAGAAATCCTGGTTGATACCCAACCAAAAGAAATCTACTTCCAGAGTGCGCTGACGAAAAAACGAACAAACTCCCGATGTCAAAAGTGTGTCTCTTCAGAAGCGTGGGAACATTTTCGTCACATACAAGCCGTAAATTGAGGTGGTCTCCCAGCACCGAAGCGGATGACTACTAAAAGTTTGCAGTCGCCTTTCGTTCTCTGGTGGCTGGTCCTACTTGCTATACGTCTGGCTCCAGCTACCATTAGGCGCAGTTTGCGCACTGCATATCTAGCTATCCAGAGCGTTTGCCAAGTCCTTTGGAACGTAGGGACCCAAAGAATTTTCGTACCAGTTTCATGTACATTGCTGTCCCTCTTAGCTGGTACTTTGCGGTAGGAGTAGGCTTTCCGTTTATGAATTGCTTTAGTTTTTTTAGGAGTCCGAGGCTATTTCTCTGTACCATAACTTGTTTGTTTGATTCCAGTTACCAGTTACCAGTATACGTTGTTTTTGCGCTGCGTGTTTAGATATCCCTGAGCGTTTGCCGGGTCCTCTGACAAGACATCTCTTTTTTTAGCGAGCGCGGCTCATTTGAGTGCAAAGTTGAGCTTACCGAAAGTAAAAGCTACGTGTGTATTTTCAATTCATTCCGATCGTATAATCTGTTTTTCATTTATAATTTCTGCTGAAGTGGACAACTTTTTGGAGAAAATGGTCAACCTCAACGCTCTACTTCCGAGACGCTTACTAGAAAGCAATCGGTATGACAGTTCAACTCTCCGCACTTCCCAACACGGGCTCAGCAATGTCTACGATGGCAGCTAGTTTCGAACTTTGGCTACTCTTTTTTGCTTCTTTGGAAGTAAAACAATAAAATATACGCTTTTCATTACTCTACACGGACTGTTTAATTTACATATGTACGTACATACTTCAACCCCCTGCAGAAAGAACGACGTAAAATCCAAGCCGCACACACACTCTAACCGCAGGACTCTAAATATGTACACGAGTTGAAGGGAAAATACACAGTTACACTTGCTGAAATACTAGATCCTGGAGCTACAAAGCGACAAACGCGCAACCAGCGACTCAAAACTACAAAGAGAAGAATAAAATGGAATACAACACATAACAGGATCAACGGAAAGAATAACAAAATTAACTCAGCATAAAAACACACACGCCAAAGCCACGACAGATGCAGAAAGAATATGCTCCTATATATTGTATGTACATACAGACTTACATATGTATGTATGTAGATATACACATTTATGTATGTAAAACTAAAATAAAATGTGGACCCTCCCTCCTCAACAGTGCGAGAACTACAAAATTGGAATGCACTAAAGGAGAACAAAATTTCATTATATGCATGCATATTACATAGTATGTATATATGTAAAGAATAACAGCAAAGTCTAAACGATCGGTAGGTAAAAAGAAGTTAGGGCAAATCAAACTAAACTCAACAACAACAACAACAACAACAACAAACAATTTGGCACTTGGTAAATGAAGCCAAAACCAAGCATGCACAAACAACTACAACAATAAAGCGATTCATACACACACACACACGAACATACATGCACACACAAACTAAAATTTATTCCCTTTCGCTTCGGTTCTGTTCTGTTCAGTGAGCAACGCGGCGTTAGCGCACGTGAAAATATCTCGTAAAACACGCTTTGTATGCGCAAAGCGCAAGCGCATCAACAAGCTGGCTCTATACTCGCAAAACAACAACAACAGCAAGTCATGTAGAACAGCCGTGGTAGAGGCCAAATGTAATGCGAACATGCAATGAATTTCAAAAATAAATATACGAATAATACGAATAAATGCAGCACAGGCACTGCCAAAATACATACATACATACATACATACATACATACAAACATTATTTGTAGCTATGTAGGTGTGTGTTTGTATATGCCGCCATATGTTTGAGCTAAATAAAAAAGTAGGCACTTAGGGAGATACATTTTTAGAGAGACATGCTTACATATATACATATGTACATATATATATAATATATACTCACTCACTACATACCTGTACAATCTTCGTAAGACTCACATATTTGCTCACTCTCTCACTTACTTACCCATTGACTGTTTGGCCAATATTTGCGCTGGCCAAATGTGTATCGGCGAATTTCAATGTTATGAACGAGATCCCAGTGAACAATTTGATTGCTGTTGTAATGTAGTTTTTATCTTTGTATTTAAAGAGATACAATAAAAGTGTCCTTTTATAACAACTGATTTTCGATCCAGCTCCTGCTTTATTTTCCCCATAAATGATGGGACCTGACTTTTTAGCCGCTTCCGGCCGACTTCTGAATTTCTATGCTGAGCTTTTCATCAGGCTATTTCAGTCTAATCAGCCTAAGTCGTTGAGGTCATCTAACGGGAGGTAAAGGAAACCAACTGTTTCGACGGTTGGGAAACAGGGGGAGGGCTAGATGAATTGGTTTTAGGAAACATGCAAAGAGGAGGTTAACGTCGTGCGGGGACTCATTGCACGCAGGACATACGTTAGGTGTGTCGGCGTTGAGTCTGAATATGTGGCAGGTTAATCTACTACAATATTCAGTCCTAAGTTGTGATGGTATTACCCAAGACTTTCGTTGCAGCTTGAGCTCTGGTTGGTTCGACTCAGAGCAAACCATTCGCTGTCTGTACCCCGTGTTTATTGTTGTTACTGTTGTTGTGGCGGTTCGTTAACCCCGATTATGTACAGGTTTGATTAATCTAAGTCGCCGAGGTGTTTCGATGGGATTGGACCACAGGGAGAGGAGGGTTAGATGAGTTGGTTGGGGGCATGTAAAGAGATGTTTATGTTATACGGAGACTTTTCACATGCAGAGCTTACGTTGGATATGCTGGGATTGAGTCTGGATAAGTAAGAATTTAACCTGCTACAGTATCCAGACCTAAGTTATGTCAAGATCACGCGGGCTAGAGGCAGCTCGTTATCTGCAATGGGTGGTGGTTTTACTCCAAGCACGCCATTCGCGGGAAGGTGCAGGATAGTTTAAGACCGGATGGCCAATGACCTTGTAAGCTACCAGCAAAGTTTCCGGTTATACATACCGGAGTTGACCCAGATTTTATCCGGCCAAGGGCTATCACCCTTTCGGCGACCTAACCCCGTTTAGGTCAACAGGTCTGTACTCCGTCCTGTGCAGTGGAATATTGCTGATTGATGACAATCCTCTGCCGGATATTGTACAAATCCAGGTCGTTCCGGTATAAAGACTCGACTGTCGCAGGAACTATTGGATTATACCTTACAATTCTTGAGCCCCTTACCCGCAGAGGAATACTGTCCATATATTTTTGTAGGAGATGCTAAATACAGTATTTTAAGCCAAGTACTCCCTTTCTGATGTGCCTGGGTGATGGCTCAGCTTCTAATAAATGACCGTTGGGATGCTCCTTACGGTTCGGACAGTAAATCATTAACCTCCATAACTCGTAGCATAAATGCTTCCGTGTGCAAGTAATACCTGTCCCTCTGGCGACAATAAAAGGTTTTCTGTCACGGTCCTGAGAGTGGCAGGCTTGTATCTTTTTCAACTGCGCTAGTGCCCGGTGGACAGTTCGGTGCAGAAAACTTATCGACCAGCCGGCCAATTGATTGTTGGACTGACTGTGGAAGTAGCGTAAGACCAAGACATTCACTCCATCGAAAGGATCTGCTGGAGGATGACCTGACCAACTGGTGTCAAACAGAGAGAAGCAAGTAATGGCACTGTCTTTACTAAGGTTATAATCTCGTAAGCTGTGTCTACTCCAGTAAAAGAACTGTTCGCTGGGTTATTAAAAGGTGATACCAAGGAAGCCAACAAGAATCAATAAATTTAGCACAACTCATATACACAGCTGAGCTGAATGGCCGACCGACTCACTGACTCACTGACTCGTCGACTCACGAACTTTGCGACTCACCATTGCCTTCTTCGTCATTTATGTATGTAATTGAGTATTTTTGTTTTTACACTGGCTTGCTGCCAGGCAGATGATCGAGTTGTTGATGAAATAACAAAAATACTCACCTATACATGTAAACTTTTCCACTTTCATATATTATATGTATGCATACATATGTATGGGAGCTGCTGCTGCCGGCTGTGTGCCGGTGTATGCCTCTGCTACCACCAAAAGGGAACGAAAAGGAAGTCGGCATAAGCATATACTTACACGTACATATGTACATATGTATATCGCTGAGAATAGTTGGCTGACGGCCGCATCATACAAGTCGAACGCGTTCTGGTAAAGGCGCGCAGCCGCAGTACAAAAGGGATATGCGCGTCGTATAGAACTCAACGAAATGTATTGCGGATAAATAGCGATTGAGTGAACGTGCGCCGTCTAGAGAAAGAAGAGAATAGATAATTTTTTAATTGGAAAAATAATTTAAAAAAAATACGTTTTTAAGTGAATTTCAAAAAAATAAAAAATAAAAAATTTTAAAATAAAAAATTTTAAAATAAAAAATTAAAAAAATAAAGAAAAAATTAAATAAGTAGTGTAAACGAAGTGATTAAAAATATTTAAAAGTCGCAAATATTTGTGTTAAGTGTTTGTGCATAATTTAAGTGTGGTTTTTCATAATTACAAGTACATACAAACATACATATAATATAGATGTACATATGTACATAATTGCTATACCTTTAGCCGCATCCTTTGCTGGAGCGTCTTAAACGTGTATTAAAGTAAATTTTAAGCGATAGCAACAACAACAACAACAACAGCGCACTAAAGTGAATTCGTGCTCTCATTCAGCCAAGCGGGCTTTCAAAAAGAGTATTTTATGCGAAATATTTGCACCCGGCAAACTCAGCGACAAACGCGAACGCGAGTGAGAGAATATGTAACGTACGAAAAACTAACCTACAAAAAATAAAAAATATAAAAAAGTAAAAATAAACAACAAAGATCCATAAAACCAAGTAAACTATAAATAATCGCAGCAAATCGAGGTATTGCAATAAGAAAATTAGGGAGGCTCTTCTTTACCACGACAGCTGCTATTTTTCGGTTTCCTCACAGAGTTAATAATAACGTGAGTGCGCGAATGTATGCATGTGTGTGTGCGTGTTTTTTGAAGTGCATATGAATATTTAATATATGTATATGTAAATAAATATGTACATATGTCTACACCAGGCGTTGAAATAGCAGCTGCTTCAGCATAAAATTGGATTTGATGCTAAAAATAACAGTAAAATGATTAAAATACCATTTGAATGTAAAAATAAATTGATTCCAGTGATTCTTAATTGAAAGAAAATAAAAATCACTAAAAATCTTGTATTTTATTATAACAAATAACGAGCTGAAAAGCGCTTGTTAAAGAATCGGTGAAAATTTATTTCCCTTGTTATTACAAAAAGCTTGTGGGAAAAGTGTTCTTAAATAATCAAATACACTTGTGATTCCTTTCAAGAAATTTATGCGAGAAATTTCTATATTTTATTTCAATCAAATGCAATAAAAATCGATTTTAAAGCACAAAAAAAAATTCTACAAAGTGTTTTTGAGTTTCAAAAAATATATTTAGCAAACCATTAAAAACGCAAAAGTCTAAAAGATCCCCCACTTTCCCCTTTTTTCACTACCAACTCCTCCAAAATGTCCCACCACAACACACAAGGACAGCGCTTGCGGCAAGCGTCTGCCTTTATTGACCGCCCGAACTGTTGGCTTTTTATAATTATCACCACATTCTCATTAATCTGTCTAAGAATGCCGCCACAGGCCAACGCTTGGCCCGAACATACACACACACATCAACGTCATCATCGTCATCAGTCGTTGGCGCATAGCTATGTTGCGGCAAATGGCACTGTCACCGGCGAGAGTAATAGTTCAGCAGCAACTACCAGCAACAGCATCACATCCACTGATACAGCCAGTTCTAGCATTAGCAACTACAATAATAATAATAATAACAACAACGTGTCTACTACATTGGGTATTCATCATACCAATTGGCGTCGCATCGAAATGATGGATGCCAATGGCCTGTACTGGTTGGAGTGGTGGCTGAAAGGTGCCGCCTCAACGAAGGAGATACATTTTCGTGCCACTGTCAATACGCGCGGTTTCATTGGACTTGGTTTTGCGCGGAAGATACCCCGTATGGCGAATGCGGATTTGGTATTGTTATGGGTCGATGATCGTACCGGCAAAGTGAATGCATTGGTGAGTTGACAAAATATATCAAAAACATTATGTACATATGTATGTACATATGTATGTACTCGTGCATATGTACATTTATAAACAGCGTTGTTCCTTGTGTTATTAAGTGTAGAGTTAAATATGTATGTATAAGCAAAACTAATGTAAAATTCCTGACAATCGATCACAGTCAAATATTAGCACTAGACTTTCAACATTCACTTACCATATCAGACTAAGTTTCTCAAAGCTTCGGCTTTTTTCTAACCTTTATTGGAATATGACATGACAGTGCTAAGGAATTAAGTCATATAAGAACCACTTCCTTCAGTCTGCCGGTGCTGGAGAAACTAATGTGTTTTCACATGAGAGCTTGCCTAACAGGCGCGACTTCATCGATTATCGATCATCGATCCATGGATCCAGGATCGTTCAACAGAAACTGCCGCTAATGAATTGATAACTGAATAAGGAACACAAAGTCGGCATACCTAGAAATGGAAGGAGCATTTAACCATATATAAATAACCACAGCCCATAATTCTCTATCGGATTTCGTGATGACATGACTTGCAGAAAGCCATAATCAATCCCGCTTAGGTACAGGTTTGATCAATCTAAGTTGCCGAGGTCATCTAGTGGGAGGTCTAGGAAATATGCTGTTTCGATGGGATTGGACCAAAGGGAGAGAGGGGTTAGATGAGTCGGTAAGCGGCCATATGAAGAGGTGATTAATGTCGTGCGGAGACTATCCACATTCTGGTCATACGTTGGATATGCTGGGGTCGAGTCTGCATAAGTAGGAGTTTAACCTGCTACAATATCCAGACCTAAGTTGAGACAGATCACGCGGGTCTCTCGAGGCAGCTCGTGCTAGTTGTCTGCAATGGGTGGTGGTTTTACTCCAGGCACACCATTCACAGAAAGGGAGTTTTTGAAAGTGTTGACTGACTCCAGGTGAATGGCGTTCAGTGCCTGTCTGTACGACGTCCTATCCAGCGGTTGTTGTACGTATTGCTGGATGGTGTTTTTCAAGTCGAGGATACACGAAACTCAGACCAAGCGGCATAGAGGTAGCTCCTTTTCGGGCTGTCAAATGCTGCTTTAAGATCGACGAAGAGGTGGTGTGTGTCGAACCTCTAAGCTGGCGTATTTTCTAATATTGGACGCATGGTAAATATCTGGTTAATAATGGCTTGTCCAGATCTAAAGAAGCACTGGTTAGGGCCAACCAGTTTGTTGACATTGGCCTTCAGTCTTTCACAAAGTACGATCGATAAGACTTTGTATGCGTTATTCGGGGCGCTTATCCAGTGCCAATCGACATAGACTAGGGTACTCCCCTTTCAAAGTTGCAGCAGCTATTGATTCACGTGCTTCAAGTTTAGAATACCTGCTAGACGTAAATGGAGAGGAGGTCTAATAGTGAAATTCTTCAAGAACATTTTAATTTATGTCGACGGATCCAAAATAGATGATCTTAACAAATCACATCTCTATTTACCTCTACCAAACTCAACTAGCATTTTCAAGCGGATATAAGTGACATAGTAAAGCCCAGTAGAGCTCTATTTGAATAACTACTATATGGAAACTATATAAACGGCAAATCAAAATTTAATATAATGCCAGTCTTAAGTGCATACTCTGCGCATTATTACCTACTTTAAATTGGTCGAGCTTTTTAGACATTATTGACATATCCCTAGAGGTTTACGGGTACCTAACTCAATGCCAGGTATAACCCAGGTTAGGTTAGGTTAGATTGAAATGGTTGACCCAAGGAGCCGTCAAGAATAAAACACGCTCAAGAAGAACTAAGAATAAAGTGTTCAAGAAAACCTAGGTTTGTCCATTCTTCGTTGTTCTTTTGAACAGGGAATTCCACAAACCTCATTGCACCATATTTTCCTTAAAGGCTTGGGTCTTACAACTTATAAAATTCAGTTAACGCAAGAAAATAAGCCGGCCGAGTCTTTGCTGACTGGATCTTTGAAGTGCATGAAAATGATACGGAATTTCATCGAACAAATCATCTTCACTAATGAAACCCATTTCCATCTCGTTGGCTACGTCAATAAGCAAAACTGTGGCATCTGGGACTCGGATTACCTAAGAGTTATTATTGAAAACCTTCTCCATCCTCAACGTGTATCTGTTTGATGCAGTTTATGGTGTGGTCTTTTTTCGAAAATGAGGCCGGAGTAACAGTTACGTTGAATGGATTGCGCTATCGAGAGATGATTAAGGATTTTTATGGCCAAAATTGAATGATATTGATCTGGACAACGTTTTTATTTTCAACAAGACGGCGCAACTAGCCACACAAGCAATAAAACCATCGATATTTTAAGAGAAAAATTTCCGGACTATGTTATCTCTCGTAAATGTGATTGCAATTGACCACCGAGATCTTGTGATTTAATACTTTGCGACTACTTCCACATGACCCGAAGTGAAAGATAAAGTCTACGCCAACAGGTCAACGTCGATACAAGACCTGAAAGATGGAATTCAAGAAGCTATTGAGCAGAAACTTTGCGAGGAACATTCATAAACTGCCTGTAGTGCGATGGGCTTCAGTTTAAAATTCGCTTAACATCGAAAAGGATGCATAATTAAACGGGGAGATATATTTTTGCTGATAAAAGAAACTCGTAATACCAAGAGAAGCCTTGCAGGGACGATAAACCTCTCATCTTAACTCTTTGCTATTTAACATAAACTCGATGAGAATTTTATGCTTTTTCAATAATTTTTTAATCTCCAATCAGAGTTTGAGGGAGGACTACTATGGTTTTGAGAAAATTTTAATAAAACAGGCAATAAAATGTAAGTGAAGCAGTAAAAATACATCAGACTAAAAATGTCAAAAATTTAAGAACCCAAAGAAATAAAAAAAACCAAACAAACTCACTGCTTTGCAAGAGTTTTTATTGCTTGTCTTACTCGTATTTGATGGAATCTGATATCGAATAACGCCGCTGAACAATTTTTGTTTTTGTTAAAACAAAATAACAACAAAGAAAAAAAACGTAACAAACAGCGGATGGAAGCCCTTAAAATTAAAAAAGAAATTAAAAAAAGTGCAAATCAGCTTCTATTAGGGTTCAACGCAGGCAAGGGGTATACCAGGTGAGGGGTATGTTAGCGAGAGAAGTGAAGCGTAATAGGAGTAGCTGGTAATAAGAGTAACGTGAATATGTTAGGTAGAGTTGTCAGTGTTGACATTATATTCCCTCCCTTTTTTTTTTTGTAGTTTGACGGATACAACAGGGGTGGGGGGAAACCGTTGCTCCTACTAGTCTGCGGCATGCAAGATTACTTTTCTGCGCATATTGATGACTAACTGGGAATGATGGCTTGCTTTTCATGATTTGTGATTTATTCTTCTTTGGCGTAAGCACCGCTTAACCGATTATAGCCGAATCAACAATAGCAAAGGCGTGGTCTTCCTCTTCCTTTTCCTCTGCTTCGACCAGCGGGTATTGCATTGAATACTTTCAAAGCTGAAGTTCTTTAATTCATTGCGACACATGAGCCAGAACTATGTCGATGTCACCGTATAACTCGTACAGCTCATCGTTCGTATGGAAACATTTCTCTGGACACTGCCACGACTGATTCATTGAACGTCGACATCGTTAATTTAGCAGCTGGGAATTGTTGAGGGGCTTTTGGAGTGTGGTATTTGTTCGTTGAGAGAGGACTTTTCAATTGCCTACTCAGCCCAAAGTAGCAGCTGTTCTTGGTTTTAATAGTAGTTCCAAAATAAACAAAGTTATCTAGCATTTCAAGTCTGTGAAGTGTGACGTGGGTGCCAAGTCCCGAATACGACGACTGTTTGCTAAAAGTTAGCAGATATTTCTTCTTGTGCTCTTTCACTATGTCCCTATGCTTCTTTATCAAGGCTGGAGAAGGCTAACGGCTCGGTTGTTAAGGCCTATGATATCAATGTTTAGCAGTTGTGAATCTTGGAAAGGATTGTACCTTGTCTATTTAGCTTTGCAATTTTTTTTTTTTCTCCAGCCTCAAATTGACGAACTCAGATGATGAAATGTCACCTTGTCATATCGTTTGGTACCGAACGATGTTCTGATGTTGTCCAACGGCAGTTTACAGAGCCGTATAAGGTGCGTTGAGGCAGTTCCTTGAAGGCAGTTAGCTACTCATGTGCCTTTTCCAAGGTTTGGTGCATTTTGAATATCTGTACAAACGAGAGTTTACCAGGTCTAAAGCCACAACGTGTGTTGTTGGTGGACCTTAGACTTTTATATAATACGCTCGTCGTTGTAAGTGGCGCAGACAGATCATGGTGTCCACCTTTTTAGGATTGGGCAGAGTACACTTAGGTTCTAATCGTCAAACAAATTTTCGCCCGACCATATTCTGCAAAGAAGCTGATGTTTGCACCTTGCCTGCTCTTCACCAACGTCGTTAAGTAGCTCAGCCTGCAGACTATTTGAAAATCGTTTTTTTCCACATCATCATCGGGTGGGGTTTCAGTTCGCTAACTACTATTCATAATGATGGTAAATAGACTTCAAGTCCTTCATCAATCAGCTATTAATTTTCAGCTACGCAATAATCACGGAAAGATTCCAGAATTTGGTAGTAAGCTTGGAGAAGATCGAGGTCTTTGAAAAATTCTTTCAACTTTTTTTTTAACTATTGACCTAAAGTCAGTCCACACAGTCATATCCGCTTCCGCTTCTTTGTTTTATTTCTTTTTTAATTCAGGTTCGGTTGGGTTGTAAGTGACTAGCCTAATTTTGGAGCCCACTTGATACCGCGCTCACCAAGACCTGAACTGCTGACTACAAATCAAAATAATGATTCGTGTCAGTCATAAACTCTCAAAGATGACACACTTTAATACCCATTGGCACACTTAGATTTCTTACGATAAAACAGCCAAGGTGTTTAAGCCTTAACCTCGAGAAGTCAAGCTAAGCTGGTATAGTCCAAAAAAGAAGAACAACGGTTAAAAACAGAAAGTAACCATGAGTTTGGACTCTCAA